ATATAGATCGGATGTATGAGTTTCGGGTCGTCCAAGTCTAGAGTAGGGTGTTTCACAATATCTGAACAGTGCCTCTCACAACCCCTTCAAGGCCTGGGTCTTGGACGAAGAGCCATCCCATGAGGTCCTTAAAGCAGCTTGGGACCGCGGACTTACTACCTGGGACACAGCGAACGTCTACTGCAACGGGGAGTCTGAGAAAGTCATTGGAACTTTCTTGAAAAAGGTCCGAGCATCATCACTTCGCCCGATTCATGACTGACTTGATTCAGTACAACATCCCCCGTCATAAAATCATAATCGCCACCAAAGCTCATGGTCTCGTCACCGACGACATCACCTTGTACAGTTTCCAGCACCCAGAGCTCAAGGAACAGCGTGACTACGTGAACCAGGATGGCCTTTCCCGCGCTGGAATCTTCAATGCCGTCGACGCCTCGCTCAAACGCCTCGGTATTGACTATATCGACCTGCTTCAAATCCATCGCTTTGATCCCAACACGCCCATCGAGGAAACCATGCGCGCGCTTCACGATCTCGTCTTGAGCGGGAAGGTACGCTATATCGGCGCTAGCTCGATGCGCACCTGGCGTTTCTCCGAGATGAATCACATCGCGGAGAAGAACGGGTGGACCAAGTTCGTCAGCATGCAGAACGAGTATTCTTTGTTGTATCGGGAGGAGGTGAGCTTTGTTGGGCAATCCGCGTTCTCCACTTCATTACTTTCTTGGCAGGAACGAGAGATGATCCCGTACTGTAAAGCCCACGGAATCGGTATTATTCCCTGGGGTCCCCTCGCAGCAGGAGCTCTCGCACGCCCGCTCGGCCTTGAAACCGCCCGCAGCGACGCCGCGAAAGGAACGGTGTTCGAGAGCAAGTATAGTGACGCCGACAAGGCCATCATCGGACGTGTCGAAGAACTTGCAAAGAAAAAGGGCTGCACCATGTCGCAGATTGCCTTGACCGTACGTTTCTGTGTTCTTCCTCCGACTCACGTACGAGTAATTTAATTCATTTCCCGCGCACAGTGGGTGCAGATGAAGATAGACTCGCCAATTGTGGGGATATCTTCAGTGGAGAGGCTCGACCAGAGTATCATCAAGGACGTTGAACTTACCACCGAGGAAGTGAAATATTTGGAGGAGCCGTAAGTCACTCACCCAGAGATTCGTCGCAGCGGCTGATATCGCTTGTTGATCCGTAGCTACGTCCCCAAGGCGGTCCGTGGACACGTCTACTAGTTCGCCCTGACAGTATGCTCCTCGATCTGTAACCCTCGTAGTCATTCTCCGTAGCTGTATGAAACATGTGCCTATTCCTTGTCCTATCGTGGCGAAGGGAACTCCCCCGCAACTTCGAACACTATCGCTCCATCAGGTTCTTTCCAACCAGCTAGAGAATAATTACAAGGAATTAGCAACACCATCCGAAATACAGCGATTGTTGTCTTCAAACGCAGCTGCGAATGTGCCCTACAAGCTTTTGGACACACGAAATTAGTGATGTCCCGGGCCCGGCTTGGTCTTTAGGCCGGGACTTGGGCCCGGCGCTGCTCGGCCCGAGCCTGGGCCGGGGCCTGCTGCACTAAAATCGCGTAACACAGGTCGCTTGTTGAATGTGATTTATTCGTTCCTTCACGGGCCGTGGCGTATCCCCTTCGTACCGCGTTCAACTCCGCATCCATGACAACACAATAATTGTCATTGTCGTCGTCCAAAAAACAATCCCAACCCTCCTTGTCGGTATTCTTCTCCACCGGAATCTCCTCTAAATTGTCCGCATTCAAGTCGATAATATCAGGCTCACGGAAAAACAAATCACGACATATTACGCACTTTAGGGAAAGCAAAAGCTTCAACAATGGTGCCCTTCAAGCGGTTGCAGCGTTTGCTGATGGTAATATCTGCGGCAGATAAAGTCCGCTCAGATGAAACCAATGATGCCATGATTGCAAGGTAGTCCCGAGCTGGTCCCGAGCCAACGATTCCCAGACAGCATAGCGGTGATAGTTATGCTACCGCTGATGTGAGTGAGGTTGAAAAATAATAGTAGCAGATTACATACCCCCCACCACTCGATAGTTGTTGCTCCTGCGGGAACGAACTCCCCAGCAGCGAGAAATCCACCTCACGCAGTTCGGATGCCCAGGCCGGGGCCTCCCGGCTCGGCTTCAAAATCTGAAGCCCGAGCCCTAGGCCCCCCAAGCCCCATGTCGAGCTTGGCTCGGCTCGGGCCTGAGGGGGCTTGGCTTGGAGGGCCTGAGGGCCTCAGGCCGGGCCAAGGACATCACTACACGAAATCTGGCTTAACAGGAATCTCAGCATCATATGGCTCAGATACCAGTTGGAGAGGAACTTTGAAATTACACAATTGCGAGGACAAGACGTGCAGGCTCAAGAACGAAAAGGACGAGAAAGCAACTTAGGGGCTAAATAACATCAGCTATTGTCATGAGACTTTAATGAGTTTGCCCCCGGCCGGAATGCCGAGGTTCTTGTCTTTGCCACCATGTCGACTTTGTGTCGACTTGCTTTAAGTCGCAAAAGTCCGATATGAGTTATAGGCGCGTATATATACTCTTCGTTGTCAATTGAATACTACTGGAGAAACATGATGCCTGACCGCTTTCTGCGCTCCAGTTATCCGAGAAGACATCTTGACACGGTTGAACATCGGCAATGACCACTTCACGATATTCAGGGAATTGAAACAGTTGCATAAATAAATTCTACGCGGTGAGCATATCGACGCACGGAACCGGATAATTCCTGTAACACTTTATTATCTAAATGAATATGACTATTTAACTCGTCTCCTCTTCACAGTTTTAAGACGACCGCATTACTAATAAACGGTGATATTGATTCTAACATATCAGCGCTTAATCCACCAGATTTGCTGTCTGGACCGATCCTGGCGCGGCACTGTCGGCAGCAGCCAGAGTTTCACCCCAGAGCCTCTTCTGCATCGACCGTGCCTGGTCCGTGTTCAAAATTTTATTGCTGTCGGACCCATGGTCAGCTATAAGCGGCGCAAGAGACAACGAATAACTCACTCCCACACGTTGTAGTCAATCAGCATCTCCCCGTGCGTCTTCGAACCCGCGCTGGTAGCATAGATCAACGCTCTCGCGCCCACCTCTGGCGACCGTCCCCGGACAGCCTGGATGACGGCTACAATCCCCCTGAGCCACCACGCCTCCTTGTCACTGATGTTGGTGTTGACCAGCCCGGGGCATACATTGTTCACAGTCACCACGGACGCGTCGACGCGCTCTGCGAGGGCGCGCAGCCACATCGACACGAGCACCTTGCTGTCCGCATAGCGCTGCATGCTCCGGTAGTTGGCGCGGTCATTGAGGAATGCGAACATGGGGGCCGTCTCGGGGATGGGATGCTCCACGTATGAGTGCTGCGCCTGTGCGCGGGAGCCGACGACGGTGAGGTACGATGGCGCGCGGGACGTCTCGGCTGAGCGGCGGAGGAGCGGGAGGAGGCGGACGGAGAGGATGGCATTCGAGAGGTAGTTGATCTGGAACATCTGCTCGGTGTTGGTCTCGGGCGTAGTCTGCCACGCGAGGGTGCCGATCCCCGCGTTAAGGAGGAGGATATTGAGTGTGGGTACCTCGGCGAGAATTTTTGTGGCGAAGGCCGCAACGGAGCTCGGGCGCGCAAGATCGAGTTCGTAGATGAGGATGGTGGGCGGGGTGGGGAGCGCTCGGACGATGGGATCCAGCAACAGAGCGCTTCGGGTAGATTCGCCCGCCTTGCGGCTGCGAACTGCGAGGATCAGAGTGGAGACATGGCGTTGGGCGAGGTGGAACCACGACGCCAGACCCAAGCCAGCGTTGGCACCCGTGACGAGGGCAGATTTGCCAGCAAATGAGAGAGATTCCGGGAGCGCGGGGATGACTGGGGAAAGGACACCCATTTTTTCTGGCGAACAAGCCTTTCGCTTCTCATTTATATTATGTACAGGAGGTTGCAGATTGGTTAGGTCGGTAGCCGCCGGAAGTCCCGTCGGGACCGGAAGACCCTCCGGGTGTTTATAATAATTTATTGAATATTTATTGATCATTCGCAGGCTCATGCTGTTTCCCAATAGGATGCTACAATCTTTGAATACTTTGGGTTGCCGATCTTTGACAATTGCGTGCATTTGTGCGGTGCGTGACCGCGATGTAGAGGATGTATACAGTACTATACAAGACGCGGCCCACACGCCTAATCGGGAAAGACAGCCCTCGGGATTAAACACGGCCCAGAGCCTTCTTTGCTGCTTAGGAATGCCGCACTTTTTCAAAGCCGGCCCTTGCCAATTGGGGACTCCACGGGGCGTGGATATAAAGCAGTCCTCGATTTCCTCAAACTTCCCTCCCTTCCCACTTGGCGGAATGGCGGCGGTGTTTCAACATACCGGGCAACCCTCACTTTGTACTTTGGAACGAGACAGACTCCAAATTGCGCAGCTCGTGCGGTGCCTTCCAGCGTCAGCCTTCTTCCCTAAATCCTTTTTGACTTAATTGTTGTGTCCTAGCCAAAGCGGTGCGGTTGGTCGTCTGGCTCCCCCAGCAGGGTACCTATCTAATCCCCAGTAAAAGGAATCAGGCAAGATTGAAAATGAGAGAACTGCTGTAACACTCCAGGCTATTCAGCGCAGGGGTGGATCAAAATTCGCTGGAGCCAAGGCAATATTTCGATGAATATGAAGGCTGAGCAGACGAGATTGTAAGTTATCTATACGTGCGAGAAAGGCTACTAGTAGGCCGATGCTCATAACGATACTATGGGGAATAGCTGTCAAATGTTGAGGCCCATGGAATTATGATGAAAAGTCGGAAACAGGCAGACATCTGCAATCCGTCAAATTTGGAGATTCATAAATAAAAGAGGGTTCTGAGATTACCTCTGGGAGGACCAGGGGTGCTGTGCTGCAAGAGTCCAGTTCAGTCCAAGGAATTGCTAAAAACACCAAAAGAAAAAAAACCTTGTGCACTATAATGCGCCGGGGGGTAATCGAACCCCCGGCGGGTCGAATTGTGTTTACATAATCCAACTTGTGGCAACGACCCAGGTTACCACTACCCCACCGGCGCTGTTGAGAGAGGGGCCTCTGCCTGGACCTTGGTCGGGATGGGTCCAATTTTCCAATCGATTGTTCCCACCTGCGAGTCGCGACTGACCACTTTATGCATGCACCGGTTCCTCGCCGTTCGTAGCCTCCGCGGCCAACAGAAGACATGTCGCCTTGAGGTGCGTGCTCTGAATCCCGCATCGGTGGTCCAGCCGTGGACGTCCTCTGATAACAGCGTAGAGCAGCGGGCTACGCAATACACGCTTTCGATGCGAAGAGGGGCATTGAGCTGCGTATCCTTTGGAAGAGGTTTCGAAGCGCAACCTTTTGCGGCTGCACGTCCTCCAGCGGGAAGCCCTAGCCCAGAAAGAGCCCAGATTGGCCACCGAGATATCGAGGCAAGTATACATGCTTCTGCTGCTCGAGGCCGGGTTATTCTGACAATAGGTTAGGTTTGGTCCTCGAGCGGCTGTCGTTGTCCACGACGCACACTACCCACACGAATAAGCGACTCGTGGGGCCAACTGCGCGCCCACCATACGAGCGCCGCACGCCATGAAAAGTCGCTCCGACACACGCATGAAGTCGACGTGCGTACGAGTTTTTTTACTTCCAAGACTTGTCTAACAAGTTTACGCAGTGTGTGAATCGTACCTCCTCCTCTCTTTACCAGCGCTATATGCCCCGCCAAGGCACCGAGGTGTGTAGCAGCCTTCGATTGAAGGATGCGCTGACATAGCGCAGCCAGTGTCTTTCGGCAGGCTTGTACGTGCAATGGGTCGTCCGCTACGCGCGGCCCCCTCACCGTGGGGGCAGATTCGTTCCAATCATACATCGTCCATCGCCACGCCGGCCGAATTCGAGACGGACCTGCGCCAGACTCTCGCAGCCAGAAACAAAATGGCTGTCGAGGCGCGCGCCCTATCACCCCGGGCGCGACCCGTGCGCGGCCGTCCTCGTCGCATCGTGTCGACGCTGACGCCGGCGCGGCTCACACCTGCCGACTACCTCGACCTCACAGGCCTACGCCGCCCGCGCCTCTCCTTCCCGCATTCGAGCCCCGGCGCGGACCTGCAGCTCTCCTACGCGCCCGAGCAGATGCCCTTTCCTCCCGTCGCGCGCGGCTTCGTCTACTGCGCGCCGCAGGCAGGCCTCCCGCCCCTCGCCACCTCCGTGCGCTTCCGCTGCACCGCGTCCGCCGACCCCGCATCCTTCGCCTCGGGGCACGATCTCACGCTGCCGAGCGGCCTGCCGTGGCAGATCCTCGCCATGCAGGGCTCCCGTACGCTCCGCGAGCAGCTGCAGCTCGAGGGCCACCTGACGCCCGCGCTGGAGGCGGAGTGGGAGAATGTGTTTGGGCAGCAGCGCCCGCCTCCAGGGCTGCTGCTGTTCGACGCGGCGCAGCGCTTCCCCGTGTCCTTTGCAAAGTCGTTGCACCTCACGGTCGTCGGCCGCGAGCGGCTCCACTTCCTCGAGCTCATGCATATCTTTGCGGACCACGCGGGCAGTAAGCGGTGCTTCCCGTTTAAGGGTAGGTTTGCATGTCTTCGCCTGTTCCGCTCGTCCTCGTGCTACTCCTTCTACCCCTCATTCGCGTCGACACATTCCCTAGGTTCCTCCTTCTCCCTGGCTCCCCCCCTCCCCCGCCTTCCTTCGTTCTGCCTTCCTTTCATTGACTCGCACGCTGCCCTCATCTTTGGGTCGCTCTCCCCTACCTACTCTTTCCCTCCCTCCCCTTCCTTCACCCCATTCTCCCTCCTGCCTCCCCCTTCCTCCCCCCCCCCTTCCTTGACCACTTTCCCCCTTTCCTCGTCTTCCCCCTCCTTCCCTCCCATCTTCGCCCTCCTTCCTTCCCTCCCGTCCTCGCTCCCACACGTGCTAACGCCCACCACAGGCTCCGCCCTCGCACACTTCGTCCCCTCCCCAACAAACCCCCACCTCGTGCACCTCCGCATCGCGCGCCTCCTCGAGCCCCCGCGCCTCGCCGCCCGCCGAGGCCTGGCGTCCCCGCGCATGGCGCCCCCGCGCGCGGGCGCACTGCTCGTCGCGGGGAGCCGCGGCGCGGGCGTGCGTGCACGGGTGGCGGATGAGGAGGCGGATGAGCATGGCGACGCAGATGGGGAAGATGACGCCCGCGGTGAAGGCTGGGAAGATACGGAAGCAGGCGAGGGCGAGGGCGAGCCGTGGGCGTACGACCTGCGCAAGCGCACAAAGAACGCGGAGGCGCTGCGTGTTTTGATGGGGCGCGGGTAGGCGATGCGCGAGCCGCGATGGAAGATGTTTGGAGTGGCCGGGGAAGGGGGCGGGGCGTGGACGGGGGCGGCAGGGCAGGGCGTGGGCGGGATGTGTGATATGCATGGGAGGACGAGGGCTCATGCCGCAGACCGCCTGCGTAACGAGGGGTCCATGAGCTGCAGCCTGCGGGGTTTGCATGGGCGCATGTGCAGAGGGGAGAGCGATCGCATGCGGAGAGGACGGAGCAGGGCGACAGGCAGCGTGGGTGTGCTGGGGTGCGCTCGTGGATGCGGAGGCCGTTCGTATGCAGCCTGTGTCATGGTCCCAGACTTCAGCGCCGGCCGTCCTCCCCTCCGTGCGGTGGGGCACACCTCGCGTGGACTCGGAGGGTACCTCCTGGCGCAGCGGTCGAGTCTTCACTTACCTACTTGCGTACTTGCGAGTATGTCTTCCGTATCGTCGTATCCCAGCCTTCTTCCATACAGTAGTTTTAAGCACGCGCTGTTTACCCTGATTTGGCATTCGCGTCTCTGGCATCAACCGCCATGAGCAACCTTCGTGCGTATGCCGTGCGACGCGTACGACCGCGACACCCATGGGACTCTCCTTACCTCAAGTCCCGCCGCTATTCCATCAAGGCGGTTGTCGACAGTGCCCCGCGGTGGGTCGTATTTAACCCCGATGAAGCTGCTCTGCTAACAGGTTTTGATGCAGAAAGCGTCCGCGGGCCCTTGTTTCGACGCTCACCCCGTCTCTCATAAAATCCACCGACTATCTTGATCTATCCCAGAGAATTTCTCTCCCGGTGCGGTTCCCAGTCTCATACGCGTCGGCGTCCGGCCAGGGGCTTAGCTACGGTTTGGAGGGGACTGTATACCTTCCCTTCCCAGATCATACTCGGGGATTTTTGTACTCTCATTCCGACCCGAATGCAGCCCCGCTGGCGGGTAGCATCCGCTTCCGCGTCACCTCTGACAACTCCCCATCGTCGTTCTCTGGCGGCCATGATTTGGTAGCCCCGTCCGGATACCCGTGGCAAGTTACCCTTGCACAAATAGCCTGGCGGAGAAAGTACGCTTGGATCGCTGCTCAGCTTGTGCACGAAAATCATGCTACACGAGAGCAGCTGTCGCGGTGTCGTGACGTCTTCGGTCGGAAAGCCAGGATATACCCCGAGTACACATTGTTTCACCTCGATTCGACATTCCTCGTCAATTTCTCGAGTCCGGTGAATCTAACTGTCGTTGGGGAGGGCCTGCACCCATTCACTATGACTTATCTATTCCGAGCCTTCTCCCCAGAACGAAACCGATACTTTCCGTGGACTGGTACGTCGTCCAACTCCAATTCCCCCAAAACAAAACAATTTCGATCGAGTCTGCATTTTCCAGGATCCGCTTTAGCCCGTTTTGAGCCCTCGACGCGCCCTGAGCACACCGGCCTTCGGGTGCTCCATCTACGAATCCTCAAAATCGTCAAGCCCGTCGCCACCATCGTGGATCTAGAAACATACAGCGGACATCCGCTTCGGCCCGAGGAGGGCCAGCTGTTCATGGTGCGTTCCCCGGGCGGCGCGCCGCGGCCGTGGGCATACGACATCGACAAGGGGACTCGGGCTGCTGCTGCGCTGCGAGTTCTGTGGAATAATTCGAGGACGCCTTAGCGTGGGCTTTTTACCCGGAGGACACGTTCACAGGTGCAGATCCCCTTCGTGGATAGTCCATCTTTGTTTGGTACATACCATGCACTAGTGGAAGCGTTGCCGTGCAGCTGATGTTTTCGGTTCTAACAATGTGGATGTTGCTCCCCGGTGCGTCCAGCTTCATATTCCCTTTCCCTCTGCGCACGCACCATTGCCGTTTGTTGATTGACCAGAGTTCAACCGCCCCAGACTTGAGTTGTCCCACAGGAATATTAATTTAAATGCCTAGCTAAGGAATCGATCCGACCGCTATACTCGAGTGGTGAATCGGTGAGACTTCCGCAACTCTCTCTAACTATGCAGATCTAGACGTCTCCAACCATAGATGCCGCAACCAAATCTGCGTGCCGTGAATCTAAATTGCAGTCACTGGTAGTTTCTTAAAGCAGACGGGGCAACATATCTCACTCAGCGTTGACAATTGTCCCCGTCATTTAGTGCTGCCTATTTATTACCCATGCACTATCCTACTGCATTTCTTCACCCCTCCAATTTATCTGGTTTGCCTTGCCAAGGTCGGCAAACAGTGGCCATCACTCTGCCGGTTGATCGCAACACTCCGCTTATGCGGCTTTCCGTCTCTCCACGTGGACCTTATGCGACGCGCTTTGTCGAAATCTACTTGGAACTCACTGAAGCACGTCCGGCGTTCCCGACAAGTATTTCCTGCTTTTCGAGGAGTCTTTGCCTCAAGTACAGTGTCCAGCATCCTGCCTCCTCAAATTCGCTCCATGGCAACCAAGACAGCACGACCCAAAATCGTTGTCTGCAAGGACTTGGGCGACGCGATGCCCCTCTTGATCGACCGAGATGACGTGCAAGTCCGTCACCCACTTCAGTGGACTTCCTCGGCGCATAATATGCTGATAGCTGCCTCTTTGCAGGTCGTTCGTTGGACGGAAGATCGGCGCTGCGATCGTGCGTGGCTGCTCCAAAATGTCGCAGACGCGGCGGGGATTGTCGTATGCTTCCAGGATACGGTAGTATTGTCCTCTCCCTTTTTTCGTCGCAACTTACGTCTGTTCGAGGTGGATCAGGAACTCGTGAACGCAGGTGGGTGCTCGAAAGTGGTCATCGAGATGTCA